GCCGAGTACATAGCGGCCTCCACCGCTTTGACTCAGGCACTCTGGCTCCCCGACTGCTTGGTGATCTCCTCGGTAGAGACACTAGAGCGGTGGAGCTCAGGGTGGACAGCAAGTCCGCTCTAGCCCTGACAAAGAACCCATTTTTCCATGAATGGAGTAAGCACATTCGGGTGAGGTACCACTTCATCCTAGGCTGTTTGGAGGATGGGAGCATCAAGGCGAGCTACATCAACACCAAGGACCAGCTTGCGGACCTTCTTACCAAGCCTCTTGGGAGGATCAAGTTCCTTGAGCTCTGCTCCAAGACCAGGATGGTTCAACTTCCCCACAAGATGACGCACAAGACTTAGGGGGAGAATGATGGATAAGTCTCTATGGTCTTTGTGGTTTTTGCTACCATCAAGGACAGCATCCTTGACTAGGACAGCAGCAGTAGCATCCTTAACTAGGACAGAGGATAGCAGCAGCAGCATCCTTGATTGGAACAGAGGACAGCAGTAGCAGCATCCTTGACTGGGATAGCAGCAGCAACATCCTTGACTGGCATCTTAGCATCTAGGACTAGCATCTAGGACAGCATCTAGGATAACATCTAGGCATATGCTTGTCTCGCTAGCAGCCTATAAATATGTATCCCCAACCCCTCAGGTTGGCATGGCATTTGTGTGAGTTTGTGTGAGAAATAAACCAGAAAATTGCCCCAACTTCTAGTATCATCCTCTCTCGATGAGAGTAAGAATTCTGCTACTACCAAGAGTGAGAATTCAGCGACTAACAACGAGCTCCTCCTTCCCTTGTCGCCGTTTGTATAGCGCATGCTCGGTTGTGCACCGTTGAAACCCAAGCTCACCCAGCGTGGCATCAAGCTTAGCGTTCCATGCTCGTGGGGCCTACCGCAGCCCGTAGAGCGCCTTGCGTAGTCGGAGCACCCTGTGCTCCTCTCCCTTGATGGCAAAACCTAGAGGTTGCCTGACGAAGACCGTTTCCACCAATTCGCCGTTGAGGAAGGCTGATTTAACGTCCAGGTGATGGACGCGCCAGTTCTTTGCTGCTGCCAAAGCTAGTAGCAAACGAACCGACTCCATGCGCGCTACTGGCGCAAAGACCTCCTCGAAGTCTATGCCCTCGCGCTGAACAAAGCTTTGGGCGATGAGACGCACCTTGTGCTTGACAATGGCGCCGAGCTCGTCCCGCTTGACCTTGTACACCCACTTCAGGTTGATCGGATGGCATCTTAGAGGTGGATCGACGAGCTGCCAAGTCTCGTTTTCCTCGATCGCCTTCATCTCCTCCAGCGTCGCCAGTCGCCTGTTTCCATCGCGCTCGGCCAGCCTGAACGTGGGTGGTTCCTCAGCACTGACGAGTAGCAGCTCTGCGTCATTGAGTAGCCTACCCGCCAAGCCTAAGGGACCTGTGCCACCGACGATGTCGTCTAGCCTGCGGAACCGCACCTCCTCACCTTCGTGGAAGGCATCCACGAATTCAGTGATGTCACTTGGAGGTGAGGCGAATCGATCGGTGTCGATGGAGTTCCCTGTTCCACCGGAGTGCTTGGCATAGCACCTTGAGTGCTCAGCACCCTGGTTGTAGTGCTCGGCACTACTTCTGGACAGCTCATCATAACTCCTGTAGTGTTCGGCCACACTGTAGGAGTGCCCAGCCTCAGTCTTGGAGTGGTTGGCACCACTGCAAGGCGTCTTGGCTCCACCATGGGAGTGCTTGGCACTGGTCCTAGAGTGGTCGCCACCACAGCAGAACCTCCCGGCACCACTCCTGGCGTGCTCGGCATCCCTCTAGAAGTGCTCGGCACTCCTTCCGGAGTGCTTGGCATCCCTCCCGAAGTGCTCGGCACTGCCCCAGGAGTGCTTGGTTCTACTGCCGGAGTGCTCGGCACCTCTTCCCCAACGTCTCCACCACCATGGATGACCAAGTGCTCGACGATGAAGGTGTTGGTGAAGCTGCCAGCTTCCCCCGTGCTCGGACTACTCCAGTCCCAAGCCTCCTCCTCGTCGAACACGACGTCGCGCGAGACAAGCACCTTGTCTCCGTGTGAGTCGTAGAGCCGATACGCCTTGGTACCCTCCGCGTAGCCCAGGAACACCATTGGTGTGCTCCTGTCCTCCAGCTTGGTGAGGTTCAGCTTTGTCTTCCTGATGTGGCCGATGCAGCCGAATGCCCGAAGGAAGGACATGCTCGGCTTGCACCCATACCAAGCTTCGAACGGCGTCTTGCCCGTCAGGGCTTTGGTCGGAGCACGGTTGAGGATGAACACCGCTGTGGTCACCGCCTCACCCCAGAACCTTGCTGGCATGCCTTTGTCTTTCATCATGGATCGGGCCATGCCGACCACCGTCTGGTTTCGTCGCTCCACCACGCCATTTTGTTGTGGCGAGTACAGCGCGGTGTGGTGTTGCCCCACACCCTGATCCACGCAGTACGCAGCGAACTCCACCGAAGTGAATTCGTCGCCACGATCAGTCCTCAGCACGCGGACCTTCCTGCCGCTCTCGGCCTCCGCGCGCGTCTTGAACTTCTTGATCGCCGCCGCCGCTTCGTCCTTGCTCGTCAGGAGTTGCAGACACATGTAGCGACTGCAATCATCCATGAGCAAGAGAAAGTACCGCCGACCACCATTTGTAGCAGGCGTGATCGGCCCATAGAGGTCACCGTGGACGAGCTCGAGAGCGTCCTTCGCGTGATGCTTGGCCGCCTTTGGGAACGGTAGCCTCCTCTGCTTCTCGGCCAGGTAGCTGTCACATAGCTCGCCTCCGTGCTTGATGTGGGGTAGCCCTCGGACCATCTTTTCCAGCCGACCAAGCGTGTCGAAGCTGAGATGTCCAAACCGGGCATGCCACATCCACGGTTCCTCAGGGTGCCTTGCCGCCAGGCACACTGGCTGCTCTACCTTCAGGTTGAGTAGGTACAACTGGTTCAGGGACCTCTTCACCTTGGCAAGAAGTCGCTGCTCCCGGTCCCTGATCCTAAGGACACCGTCCTTGATTAGTACCTCGCTACCGCGCTCATCCAGCTGACCAATGCTGATGATGTTAGAACGCAGCTGTGGGATGTAATATACATCCGTTAGCACGCGGTGCTCCTTGTTCTGGCACCTGAAGATGATGGTGCCGCGCCCTTGAGCCGTCACCAAACTTCACCGTACCGGTAACATCGTCGTCGAGCTCGGAGAAGGATGTCTTGGAGCCCATCATGTGGTTGCTGGCACTAGAGTCCAGATACCACCGCTGCTCCTGGTCGGCGCCCACACGTCCGAGGTGAACTTGGGCGCGTGGTTCGTCGAGGTTGACGGTCTTCAGGGCCTTACTAGGTCCTTCCACCGTCGTCACCTCTTCCCACTCCTCGGCCTCGATGTCGTGCAGTGCACAGAACGTCGTCATCAGGATAGTGGCCTCATCCTCATCATCGGCTTGCGCCGGATGAGCCTGAGCCTTCTTCTCCTGCTTGCGATTTGGGCACTCCCGTGCCCAATGGCCCATCTTCCCACAATGCCGGCAGGCATTGGGGTCGACCTGCTTCTTCTCCGAAGAAGCCTTGCTGCGGTGCTTGCCATCGCCACCGCGGCTGGAGGAGGCTGCCTTCCCGGAGTTTTTCCGAGCAGCCCACTCCTCTTCCGTCAGTAGGAGTTTCCCGCTGTCCTTCGTTGCTGTCGCCTGCTCCAGGCGCTCATCCACCGCCCGCAGACAGCCTGTCACATCCTCAATGGTGAGGGTGGACAAGTTCAGCATCGTCTTTATGAAGAGAGCGATCTGGATGTACTTTGCCGGCATGGAGTGGAGGTCCTTGGAGACCGCCTCCTCTTCGTCGATGATGATGCCGTGGCTCTTCAGCTTGCTGATGAGCGTCTGCAGGTGGAGGAGAAATCCTCCACCGTTTCACCATCCTTGAACTTGAGGTTGGCGTACTCCTGCTTCAAAAAGCTGGGCCGTTGCCTTCTTTGCGCGGTCGGAACCGACGCGCATCGCCGCAATAGCCTCCCACGCCTCCTTAGCCGAGCTCTTCGCCCCCAACGGCTCCCTGTACTCCGCCGGTACAGCAGCGAGGATAGCTTCTAGCGCTGACATGTCATCTTCTTCATTGTCGGTGCCCTTGTCAACAGCATTCTAGAGTCGTTGGGCTTTGAGCTTGACCTTCATGGTCACTGACCACTCTCCATAGTTGGTGCAAGTCAACGTCGGCCAACTGGTGCCGCTGACCTCCCGCACCGTGCGAACAACGACCTCCGGTCGTGGCTGGGCAGCCACAGCAGTGCCACTGCTGTCGCCCATCTCCGAACCGCCCGTCATCGCCAACGGTTAGTCTGGCGACGGCGCTTGTACGACTTTGATACAACTTGTTGGTCCACAGGATCACCGGCTCAGGTGAGTGAACCACTCACCAGTCTTGCCGAGCACCCGCTAGTGTTGCCGAGCACCCACTAGCCGTGCCGACCACGAACAAGCGTTGTCCGTCCCCACACACTATGGCTGGAGCTAGAAGAAGAAGGGAGAACATAGCAAGCACACACAATACAAGACACAAGCGTTGGCCGAAGCCCTGTCTGTGAGATAGCAAATCTGAACTCTCTTTACTGAGTTGCCGTGGTAATCTATTTATACAACTCTATCCACCTAGTCTTAGAACAGCTGTCCTGCTGCAACAGTGACTAGATAACATACAGGGCTGACTCTGCGCCGACCACTGCATATGCCTACAGTGCTGCAGGTGAGCCGTGCGGCGCCTGCACCTGCAGCGGCGACAGTATCACAGCAAGGGGTCTTTTCGACGCCGTCTTCTCTTACTGTGTTCACACAATGTAGCAGTAGATTATCTAACAAATTCTTCCATCAGCACTGTTATCCCCAAGGGCATGATGTCCATAGAAGTAGAGACAAAAAAGACAAAGATTTATTGGTCTTGTCTCAGGTGGTGCCGTGTGGAGAGATGCCCCAATATTGACACCGTGTTTGCCACTAACTATGATATTGTTTGCTTTAATGAACTAGAGACGTTTTGGGCAGCTGATCTCTTGACAGCGCGTTGCATTTGGAGCAAAGGAAGAACAATCAACATCAAGGACACTGAATCCTTTGCAAAACTGCAGGCTATACGTCTCCACTCCTGTCCTAAGCTTACATTTGTTCTTCCACTGTCATGGTTCAATACCCTGTCTAGCCTTGAGACTCTTCACATCGTCTGTTGTGGTGACCTCAGCCACGTATTCCCTGTGGAAGCAGAGTTTCTGAACAAAATAGGTACTGGCCATCCAAGAGGTGTCTTGGAATTCCCAAAGCTGCAGCACATATATTTTCATGATCTTCCCAAGCTACATCAGATATGTGAGGCCAGGATGTATGCTCCTGAGCTCAAGACCATCACAGTGAGGGGATGCTGCAGCCTTAAGCACCTCCCGGGCACCACTGACCGCCCATATGACCGCCCTGTCGTGGATTGTGAGAAGGTATGGTGGGAGAAGCTCGAGTGGGATGGGAGGGAGGCTAGCCACCACCCTTCCCTTTTTGACCCACGCCACTAAAGCAATAACTGTCCCGTCAGTTGACCAGGTACACATGCATAAATTGTTTCCTTTCTCTTATTTGTTTTTTTCTTTATGTTTTCATATGTATCATATGCAGAATATTATCTGCAGATCTCATGGAAGATCTATCTAGCTATCTGCAAGAATCCTACATGCTACTACAATTTAACTACCAATAATAGGTACAGCTAGCGATCAAGTTTATTTTGGTTTTCTGAATATCTAGTACTAGCTTTGTAAGTTCCGTTAATTTATTCCACTAATCAAACCCTTGTTTTATCACCTCTGTAGGTTTGTTGGTGGATTGATAGCCACGTCTCACTGCTGCTTTCTACCATGCCGAGTGCTTCTGTTGCTTTGTCAGGTCTATGGTGTGTTTTCTGAAGAATAAAACTTGGTGTCTGATACTATTTGCAGTTCATCCACCAAGCTAGCTACATTGGGTGTGCTTGTTACTTGACAAAATTGTAAGTTGCGCCTCTCATGAGGCTGACGACGTATCACTTGTTTGTCTTAATTTCTTTATGGTTTTGTGTGTGCTTCAAATAAGAGGAGCATGCCATGTGCCTGTGGCGTGTGTACCGTACTATCATAGTCACAGGACCCTCATGGTGTAACTTCATGTTTGCAAATGATTTTGGTGGGTTCTTCATGAAGTGTGAAAACTGTTTCGTTCCAATACTATGTTTTGCTGGCGTGGGAAAATCAAGGGTGTTAGCCTTTATATGTGATGATATGCTGTTCACGTTTCGTGGTTCTGTTCTCTTTCCGATCCATATAATTTCTACTTAAGAAACTTCGTATCATTGTTCTCTGTGTTCATATCTTTCACTGTCTATACTCATAGTTTTCCTCTTTGCATCACATTTGTGTGTCTTTAACGTTCTTAAGAAACTTCATATTCCACCGTCTATACTCATAGTTTTCCTCTTTACATCACATTTGTGTGTCTTTAACGTTTGTTTAGTTGAAATCATTATTTAAATGACAGAGGATGGCCTTCTTTCTCCTCCTGGAAATGCTCCTTCTTAGACGAGGCTAGACGGCAAGTCCTTAGGATGTCTAAGGACAAACGCTCTTCTTTTTCCTCCTTTGTATAGATCCCTTCTCTTAGTTTTCTGGCTGCAAGTGGCTCTCTCAGCCTCTTTGGTGGTTTTTGTTGTGCTTGTTTCCGTGTACAGTTCTTACCCTTTTTTCTTTATAAAATCTCACAATGGGGGTTTCTCCTGCTGTATTCTACGCTAAAAAAAACAAATGTGTCATGAATATGAATCTATATTTTGGCTTTTATTTTTTTTATTTGCTACATTTTTTTATTATCACTTGAAACTTTAATACCTATTGGACATTTTATTAACTCTCCATTTATATTTTATTTAAAAAAAATCTTAGGATCTACATTATACTCTTGCTACAATAACATAAAAAGCCATTTTTTTGCAAGTACATCAAATGATTGATTGCCTCAAGCGGGGTGTGCGTGTGTGTGTGTGTGTGGGGGGGTGGCTTTTGAACAAAGTCCTTAGGCTAAGTGCCTAACTCTAGTCACCCTGCTAACTGAAGCCTAACAACTAGTACTTGCAAGAACAAATCACACTAAAATGAAAAGTCCTTAGGGCCATCATTCTACCGTGAAAACCATTCTATGAAGCACACTAAGAGTGCAACTAGGATGATTCTCATGTTAGTGTGCCCCACGTAGGATTTGCAATAAAGGAACCTATCTACGTGCAACACACTAACATAATAATCATCTTAGCTGCACCTGCACTCCATCCATCAATCACGCAACAAAGCAAACAAGAGCAAGATCAAAATGCATAAAGATAAATGGTATCAAGGTGTTGGCTACACTCCCTACTCCAAGTTGGAGCACTATTAGCCAAGAGTATTGCTCCTTTTGTGCCGCTGCAAGACACAAGTGCTTCACTAGTAGTGTCTCCTCCATCTTCAGAGAGGTGGACCTCAACCTTATACAAATCTTAACTCGAACTGCACCCACAAGCTTCAAGGGCTTGATCAAGCTCTTTTCAGCACCAAGGTCATCTAGGAGCAGCCAAATCTCCAAGAGTAACAAGCTACAAGATCTCACTTGACTAACCTAGTCTATAGAGAGTGAATGTGGCACACTTTGCTACTCTAGCATTCCAAATACTCCTAGATGCAAGAGGCCCTGTATTCTTGCTCATGAGAAATGGTGAAAATAGATCCTTATATAGCCCGGAGATGGAGCTAGAGCCGTTGGAAAAGTGTGTACAAAAAGTGTGCCTGACCGGACAAATAAAATGCCTCGACTAGACTTATACCTCCTCAGATTGTACACCTTTACAACGGTCAGCAAAAACCTCACGTATTTGTTCAGTCAACCACAAATGATAGGATCAGACAAATGCCTCCTCACAGAGACGTACAAAACCTCTCTGGCAGAGATGTATTAGTCCGGTCCATCCAACAAACACAGACCGGGCAAATACCTCATCCATGTTCTTCTTTCTCAGGATCAAATGATGCATTAGTCCGGTCATCGAGAATCACCTCGACCGGACATTTGCATGACTGTCCAGAGATCTCCCAAGTTGTTCAAAGCCTCTTGTATATGTCCGATCCATCACCTACCTGGGACCAGACAGATACTTTCTGCCTTCGAACTTAGGTTTACTCTATCCAATCATTTGTCCAGTGCATGAGATTGTTTGTCCGGTCAATGTCTGGTCAAACAAGAAGTATGAAACTCTTCCAATTCAATCCACTGTGAGTTTCAACTTGGAGTTTCCATGTCCTTGACTTGATTTTTCAGATAAATAGCCTAGAGTTTTCAAAAGTGTGCACGACAAACCATTCCCTAGACTACAATGGTCAAGTTACTCTCATGTAGCCCCCTTGATAGTATGACCAACACTAGAAACTATAAAAACCTTTCTACCTAAGTGCCCTTCATCTCCTTTGTGACACTTAATACTAGAAAGGTCCTTAATCTTCTTAGCACTTCTTGGTGCATTAAGAAATCCAATTTTGTGGGCCACATTTTGAATACCATTGTATGACTAACCATAGAAATCCCCTTGCAAAACAAAGTTAGTCACAATGGCTTGTGTTGTCATTGGCCGCCAAAATCATTTTCATCTTACCTTGGAGGCCTAGATGCAAACATATCCTCCATGATCTCCGCATATATTTAACAGTTTTGTTAATAAGAATAGAGTGTTTACAATCAAACTATCAATGTGAATATGTTATAATGTTCTAATAAAAATGTACAAATTTATCAAACATAACAACATATGTAATCTATTATCATGGATTTTAATATAATTTAAAATAAATTAGCAGTATATTCTAAAAATAATAACTATCAGTATCATTGGCATGCCATTTGTTGAAGTGTAGCGCAGGCCACCAGCCAATAACTAACTTATATGAAATATTTTTATGATTGCAAAATTATAGAAATATATACTTATTACTTATGGATACAGGTACATGTAGTCCAACCAATAACTAAAAACTGTAAAAGCTATCTATCTGTGTGTACTTCATTTCCTTTGTGATGCTTAGATCTAGAATGATACTTAGCCACCTAGAACGAGGGGGGCCATTAATCACCATGTCATTGTGACATAACTTAAGAATTCAACAATAGTTTATCCAATTTGGATATCCAGGATAATTTCCATGTGTCTATTTGGAATATAGGAATATCACCCCCCCCCCACCCCGAAAAAAAAAACCCACTGATATTCTTATGATATTTATGCCTCAACCACGTGGCAAATGGTAGAAAGATAGATGTCCAGTCTAATGGGAAGTGTTCTCTGTATATTTATCTCTTCAAACTATTATTTTTTCTTTTCTGAGCTCCAGCAAAATGACCATATGCATATTTCATTAGTTCTTTTTTATATTATTATTATCCTATTCCTATTTCCTATATTCAAACAAGGCTGAGCGCCTGATGTGTTCATGCATCATGCATACTACTCTGGCAGAAGGAAGGCAGTTTCATCTTTATCCTTTAGCTCCAACCCCAAGCAAAGCAAAGAACCATCAGCCTTCACTTTAGTGAAAGCACCGAAAGCAGAATCTAAAGGCAAAGCTACATAGGAAATGGCATCAGAAGCTCATTGCATATTTGCATCAAGCTATGGCATCAACAGTTAGCAAGTTCCTCGCATATACACAACTATAGCTTCCTTTGTCAAATATTATGCGGTGTGGTACTGGCACTGGATAGTGGATACATAGCTGCTCTCAAGGTGCCTAACCAACGTCCTACTTCCATGTATGTTTTTTTATATAAGTCTGGACACATATAAATTCCATTTAACCATCTAAATATGTTTTTCTTAATGGGTTTTAATTTATTTGTCCATTGATCATCTACATGCAGATAAGGGACACCAGGCGGAACGCGGATGGGTTCAGGGTCTTCAAAGCCAGAGTTTAAGGTAAATTTCCGTTTTCATCCCAGACCGATAGAGGGCATGGTTTTACTTTGTGATACTTGACATACACATGTGGCATATGTATTGTCTGTGATCTGTTCCATTTTTGGTTATAATAAGGTAGTTTGGTGGCGGCTACCATATCTGGTAAGTAATAAGCAGGTTTTCCAGGATTTCTTTTCACATAACTGTAGAAATAAGCCGGTTTTTTCCATCATTCAACATTAAATTTTGTACCAGACTGTAGAAATAATGCCTTACGTTATTACCTATGATAAATGCAGGACTTTCATGCCAATACTGTTGAAGAGGCTGTGAAAAACCTAGCTCCTTATTTGGAGGACACAAGGGTGCGAAACCAGGTCATTTACTTTGATGGATGGGATGGACTTGGTGCATCTGCTGTCCTTAATTCTCTGTTGCTGAACACCCTCCGCCATCTCTGAGAAACAAATTTGATGATAATATTATACACATTGACTGTTCAAGGTGGAAAAGCCGGAGAGCACTGCAGAGGACAATTGCACAGAAACTAAGACTTCCTCAACACGTCATGGCTATTTTTGATAGACAAGATGAAGAGGACGATTTAGTTGGAGTAGATGAAGGCTCTAGAACTGAGATAAGAGACATTGGGAGAGAGAGAGATATCGAGTCCTACAAGGACAGAGCTCCTTAGTGGTCTTCCACAACGGGAGTGATACCATGATTGATTTCAATGACCTTGGTATTCCTCGAGCTGCTGCAGATCCTTGGTCAAACATTCTCCGGAAGGTATTAATTGTGGACCTTCCGTGGAAGGCTTCATGCCATCAAACAAAGGGAGAAAGTTTCAGATCATCTTAAACCTGATAAACGACAACCTGAGGGAACTGAGAAAGTGGACACTTCATATCTTTGCTTTGGTTCATTATTTTCTGGAAGGTCAACCTCAGATGTATCCTACAGGCTTGAAATACTGCGTCAGGAAGCTGCAGAAATAGCACAATACACGAATAAACCTATAGTCACTCAGGAAATAGCTGAAATATGCTGCAGGTATTTGATATCATTGAGTTCCAAGGGGAATGGCAAGCTAGACTTCAACTGGACTGCTCATGCCTCCAACTATTGGGTTTGTGATGGGATTCTAAAAGAATTTCGACCAGAGAAAGAATGGGAGATTGCCACTTGTCTGCACGAAGAGTTGCGACTGGAGGGCTACTCATCTGCTTGTAAGTTCTATCATTCCGATGCTGACACAACATCCTGGATTGTAACCACCAAATCTAGTGAAGATATTGTACCAACTGTGCAGCCTGAGACAACCTCTTTCTTTTTGGCAGTCAAAAGAGAACATGGCCATTCGGTTTTGCCATTACCCATGAAAATGTTCCAAAGATCCGAGCAACTTCATGTTTTGAAGCTCTACCACTGCAGCTTCAGCTTTGCTTCACCTCCATTCCTTTGTTGCCTAAACCTAAGATTTCTTGGACTTGATAGCTGTATGGATCATCAATCAATGAAACCGAAAGAAAACAAAGAAGAGGTGGAGGAGGAGGAGGAGGAGCCGAGGAGGTGCTGAAGAAGGTGTTGGAGGAAGAGGAGGAGGAGGAGGAGGAGGAGGGGAGCAGGAGGAAGAGAAAGGGGAGGAGGAGGAGCAGCAGCAGCAAAATAATAGACCAACAATAGAATTCTTTCAAAGCCTATGGGTGCTGGACATATGCCGCACTGATTGGGAATTGGCTTTATCCCCAAATACAATTGTGAAAATGGCAACAAACATTAGGGAGATAAATATAAAGAGGGGAAGAATCTGGCACAACAGTATTTCATGGAGATGTCTTGGTAACATTCATAAGCTTCGAGTGATTGAACCTACAAGTCCTTGGGAGACAAGTAATAAGGATGAATTTATGGATATGGTGAAGGTGGAGCTTCTCGACCTATCAGGGAATAGCACAATACAATTTTTACCAAGCTTGTCAGGTGCAATCAGCCTCAAAACCCTTATTCTAGATGGCTGTACTGGACTGCAACAAGTTGTGCCTGAAACACTCCCTCCATCGCTTGAAACATTTAGCTTAGCTGGAGGATCTCGACGAGAAGCTAAAATCTCCCGTATCTCCTTGGCTGGTTGTGCAAGACTGGTCAATTTCAGATTGCATGGGTCAATACAGAACCTTGAGGAGCTGGACCTCTCAAACACATCAATCAAAACACTTGACCTCAGTGATGAAGTGGTGCAGGTCCCATGGCTACAGCGCGTCATCTTGCTGGGATGTGAGCGGCTTCGTGCTATCCTATGGCCAAAGCATGGAATGCCCAGGCTAATGGTGCTAGGCATTGACACTCGGGGAGGCACAGAAGCAGCTAACAATGCAAAAACACTACATGATAATTTTGTCATCAGTAAAGAACGAGAAGAAGGTTGTCGTGCATTTATTGCTGTTACGGAAATGAGGTTCCTTCAATGGTTGGTGCTAGCAAGCGCCAATAAACTTTGCTGGGACACTGAACGTAAATATGATCTTAATATCTGCTTATCTTCTTCTAGTAGCAAAGATGTTGGACAACACAACTACAAGGAGAAGATGGGCCCTCTACAAAAGTCAATAATAGACCCCAAGACTCACCTGACCTACAGCGACGTGAACATTGACAAGGCAAGTAGTGCGAGGAAGTTTCAGCCACTGGACCGCCATGTAGAGATTGGTGAGGGAATAAGCAACTCTAATATGGTAACCATTCGTGAAATCAGCGCTGCAATCCTTTTGATGAATAGGATATACTCATTGCTCGTGCATGACAATTCATCCATCAGGACCGTTATCCCTGAAAGCATGATGTCTATAGAGGTAGAAGACACGAAGAAGAAGAAGATTTATTGGTCTTGTCTCAGGTGGTGCTGTGTCGAGAGATGCCCCAGTTTGGACAGTGTCTTCACCACGAACTATGATGCCGTCTGCTTTAATGCCCTAGAGACCTTTTGGGCAGCTGATCTCTTGATGGCCCGATGTATCTGGAGTAAAGGAAGAACAACCAATGTCAAGGACACTGAATCCTTTGCTAAACTGCAGGCTATACATCTCCACTTCTGTCCTAAGCTGACATTTGTCCTCCCACTGTCGTGGTTCTATACCCTGTCCCGTCTTGACACCCTACACATCGTCTATTGTGGTAATCTTAGTCAGGTTTTCCCCGTGGAGGCGGAGTTCTTAAACAAAATATCTACTGATCATCCAAGAGGTGTGTTGGAATTCCCAAAGCTGAAGCACATCTACCTACAAGAGCTACCCAAGCTGCAGCAGATCTGTGAAGCCAAGATGTTTGCTCCAGAGCTCAGGACCATCACCTTAAGAGGATGCTGGAGCCTTAAGCGCCTCCCCGCTACCACCGACCGCCCAAATGACCGCCCTGTCGTGGACTGCGAGAAGAACTTGTGGGAGAAGCTGGAGTGGGACGGGAAGGAGGCTGGCCACCACCCGTCTCTTTGAGCCACTCCACTCCAAGTACTATAAGAAGAGACTGCTTAGAACCACGGTTCTCCGATGAGCCGAACTGATCATGACGTCACTGTAACCTGGTAAGCATAAATATATAATTTCCTTTTTTTCCCCTTTCATGTTGAATTGTGTATTATATGCAGTACCGTAATCCATAATCTACTGCCTTCATCGAACATCTGTTTAGCTATTTCTAAGAATCCTGCATGTTATTAGAGGGAACTAAGAACAAATACATACACACACTGTTAGATATATTGTGATCGGTTTATGGTCTTCCTGAGCTGTACAAGCTTGTATTTTCCCTTTGTCTATCCCATTAGATAATCATTTCTATTATCAATTCTGTAGGTTTGATTTGGTACTGGATTGAAGGCGACATGTCTGCCTTCTGCTTTCTACCGTACCGTGCTGATTGCCGAGTACTCTTCCTTTGTTTTGTCAAGTCTTTGGTATTTTTTTCTTAAGGATGAATTGGTGCTAATGTTATTTCAATTCACCAAACCACATTGGACGTGCTCGATACTATCTTGTTGGCACAAAAGGTTGGCCAAACACTACAACAACTTAGCGCTCTGTCTAAAAAAACCAGGATACCCGGTTTTGTCGGGTTGCACCGAACACTTTCACAGGAAAGGGCAACTAGGTTTCCAAGCAAACCTACAAAGAGATAAATCTGCGCTTATGCAAAGAACGACTAGTTTTCAAGCAAACTAGGAAAGTCCGTTGAAGTTCTCGCTTGGTAGGGACTTATTTAGGACGTGGACATCATTGCCGTTATATATAGTGGGCCCTAGATACCCTCGCCGCAAGGAAAACAACCCAATTGAAACGTGGTAGGCTGATCGAGCTGTACGGAAGACCCAAACCGGATAGGGTACCTCGACTACTTGGCGGACAAGACATAGACTAGATATATAGTTTTTTAGAAGCCAATCAATTTATAAAGATCCACTCGGATTTGACTCAAATTTCCTTGTAACATAGATAGTTTTAGAAGCCGGTCAATCTATAAAGATCCACTTAGATCTGACTCTAATTTCCTTGTAACAGATTAGGATACGACCTAGATATGATATGGATCGCCTTATGTCATGATTAAGTGACGATATGAGTTCATCAGCCCTAGGAACAAACCCCACGAAAACCGGCAAGCTCATTAATAAACCTTGAGCAATGCTCTTTCAAGCCGTGGTTAAACCAATCCTAAGGCCGATTGGATCACACATCTCTAACTTAGCCAAAGAGCCATAGTTGGACCAAGAATCCATAGGTCTAACCGTAACTCAGTTTGATATATCCCCATCTCCCACCAAAACCTATAACCTCCTCTGACTTGAAATGTCGGTCTAACGGTAGACACTCCCGGTCCGACTACAACCCTCAATGCAATCCATAACTTTTTTGAGCCGACCAAACTTGCATAATTGGTTTGAGCGCCACCCTACATGGCCATGTTGCAAAATCCCCATAGAGCTTGTGTTAGTTCTATCTTTCCTTAGATCTAGTGTGACCACCATCATGAACATTCTAACATACCCTACTCGATAGGGTTAGTACCTTAACACCCCTAAGCTAGACCTATCTCTTGTGAACCTACTTTCTTCCACATGTTTAGAGATTCCAATTAGAGTTTAATCATCATTTTTTGCCCCATTCTATTTTATCACTTCCTCATGCCACACCTTCCATTTGTCTACTTCTGTCATGCCTCATGCTTCTTGTACATGGGATTGGCTTTCTCTAGTTCCTATGCTTGTGTAGAACCTACCTTGACATGATACTCTCTCCTTGATATTACCAATCCTTGTTTTCAAACATGTTTACCTAGGGTCTCGCTTAACATGCGTATACATGATTAGTATCAATAGAAGTAGAGAGGTGGCAAGGTCATCACCACCTACAAGTTATAGGGTGTTATGTTAAATTCTTTACTCTCCATTGATGAGTGGTTAAAACGTGAGCAATGATGTATGATGGCATGAGGCCATGTGGGGAGTGGAATACAAATGGCATAGACCCATTTAAACGGATTAAGGATTGTATTTTTGCTGCATCGGTCTTGAGCACCTTATCATACTTACCACATGTCATATGTGATAATGATATTCCTAGAGTGGCTTGTGTTGACCGGGTCATAAAATGGATATGGTACGATTTGGGATGAGGTGTAACTAATGGTAGTACATCTTTGCACTGGGTGAAAGGCCGATGGTGTGGCGTTTGGTCTTGCAAATCTTGTGGGAAAAATGGTGCACCCGTGCAGGGGTTTAAATCAATTTGCATTGCGACACTCTCAGTCATGAGCACACTCTTGATGGTTGGCCTCAATGTAGAATTCTCAAAATGAGTTTATGGAAGATTGAGATCATGCGATATGATCACATTTACTTATGTAAATAGATTTGTACTTGACTAGAGATCTTAGCATTCCATTTCTTTTGCTTTCAACATTTTATTTAATTGTGAATACTTTCACCCAACTTTACCTTCCAATGACCTTTGCTATCAACATTGCACCCGCTTATGGTACTATTGTTAAGTTGCTTAATTATTTGCATGATTGTCAGAGGCTGCTTATGGCTATTCCCATTATTGCAACCAGAGATGGTGGCTTACATTTGGATATACAGGACGGGCATGACCATCGTCTTGCTACCTTGATTATGCAAAGTGCGAGTGTACAATGGAGTGCAACGATATGCTCTTGACAAATATTTTATTTTTGTGTTGTGCATGTAAATTATTTCTGTGCCAAGTACTTTTGAGTTGTTATCATAATTTTGTACGACTTGCGACCATTCATTCCTTGAAATTGTGATGGTGGGGTGTGCTCAGTACATTATAAGGACTAGCAGTGATAATTAACTTGAACAAGACCGATTGTATAGTGCATAGTCCGGCTTAGGAAAAATAACTTGGGCAATAACGTGCACCAAGCTATGCAATCAACATCATCAATTATGGATTGGCTAACAGATGGTGTTAGTGCAATGGTTTGCGAAAGGACATGGATTGGCCAATGACCACACAGATAATAACCAGACTGCTAGAAGTCTATTATTTTGCTCATACATTAAATGTATGTAGCATTTGTTAGGTCGAGCAATATTTAAGGCTAACACATCTTCTTAAGTTTAGTTCTTAGATTGTCAACACATCTTCTTGTCCTAATTCTTCCCACATTCGATAGAAAGTATTTAGAATAACTTTCATTCTTTTTTCAAAAGTATTACTTTAACATAAACTTATATTGCCGCCTCTAAATCTTAACCTCACATTAGTCTTCTATAATGTTATTTGAAATAAGAAAATACAATTTTTGTAATATAATATAGCAATCTTATAAACTTCTTACTTTTACAATAAAATATTTTATGCACAAATGGTATGACATTACTACGTGATAATGATAGGGTATATGTTTTAAATATGGTTATAAGAAACTATGAGAGAATTATTATGATATTTTGGTTAGAACAAGTACGATGCACATGGCTGGTTGTGATATGTATAACAGCCAACTGAGCTGCGAAATACATAGACTTTCGTCATCAATGAAGTTTGAGTCCTCAGTCCTCACGTGTTTCTCAAACGATTAGTTGCTTTGTGGATAATTAATAAAGTTATATTGTATTTGCAAAAAAAAAATGATTGCTTGAAAATCACATACTAGAATGCCAAATAATTAAGAACAAAACATGAACATTAGAATACTAGATGTTTTGTCGTGTCATTCTTGATTGTTCGCCTTAGTGTGTCAATTTTTAATGTAAATTAACATGCTATGATGGCTAAAGATTATCATTTGTTTTTCATATTTTTTAACTTTATTATAATTGAGTCTTTATTCAACCTAGGAAAGTATGTTTTCTAGTATAATCCATAATCCATAATTATACAGAGAATGAAAACATACATTTGCTTCATTTGACTAGGCTACTCTTCTAGAAATGTAGATTCGGCAAGGTCAATGGCACGAGCAACACCTGCAGCCTTGTTTAGACACTCTTGGTGCTCGTCATCTGGTTTGCTATCAGCAACTATGCCAGCTCCGGCCTGGAGGTGAGCGACCCACTCCTGCCGTGACTTTTTGTCCGTATAGGAGTACATGGTGTCAAACCGAGATGCGGTGGGGAATACGATAGTGCGAAGAGCTAGTGCAATGTCCATGTCACCGCAAAAGGAAATCCCTCCAAATCCACCACTATACGGGCCACGCATATTCACTTCTAGCTGATCAATCAACTCCATTGCTCTCACCTGGTTGGGTTCACAAAATGACATGAGAAGTCAGACTCAAGACAGCTTCAGAGAAAAAAAGAAAAACAAGAAATATTTGCCAATAACATCATTTGAGGGGAAGACACCACTTAGTCAAAGGTCATGCGATGAAAAATATTAATGATATATATATCCTAAATTATTATAAGTTTCTTAATGGTTACTAAAACTCATAAATTTACAACAAGTTTATCACCAATTTAGTCATATTAGGGAGGTTGACATTAATGATGGCAGTGTGCCAGCTAAGTTGCAAATGGAATGATTACTGCTCACAACGAATTATGTAATAATAGGTAAAATTTTATACCCGCGAGTAACATTTTGCACACCTATTAAGTATGATACCTATCATTATCTACATGTGTGAGTTGGTTTATCACTAGAATAGATATAATCCCTTGCATTTCAAGCACATGTAAAGCAATATACCTGCACCGTATCCACAAGTAGAATTTTATATCTAGACTCACACCTGTGGATGGAATTTTGTACCATATCCGCGGGAAGGATTGCCATCTCTAGTTGACATATACTATATTTCATCGCGTTAACAACAACTTTTGTATGTTTTATAGTTTGCACATGTTTAGCTAATCTTGGTGTATTTAATGGTTCTTTCTAGAGATTGTGTATGTTGATATTATCTTTTTCCCGCCTTCTATTATATCATATTCCAGTTGTCGTACTAAATCCATGATTTTCTA